ATCCTACGGGACGTGTCAAGCACTTGCTTTTATCCCGTGATAAATCATTGTTCATTGTTCAAAGGAGCGTTCGTCGGTTTGCTCACACTAATCCTGTTATTGGGCAATACGGGCTAATCTGCTGCTAAAATACATGCGATAGCATCGCTTTACTATTCCACTGGTTATACTTGTGTTCATTAAACGGCGGTGAGTTTGAAATAGCCGTTACGTGAATGGATGGCTGCCACGCGGTGGTACTGAGTGGCTAGCTTAAACGGGGTGCCTTTCAAGGATGTGTTTTGGTTGGGTTACAAATGATGGTAGCAAGTGTGGTTGAGATTTCCTAGGATCCGAAATATCATTATGAAATGGCACCGTGGACGCGGAAAATATCTGCCTGCATTGGTAGGATAGGACGGGCAAACTTGTAACGTTCTTTCTAGCCGTACGCTGTGCTGTCTCGAGCAAAATGACATGACGCTTCTTCCATGGTTGACGCGTTTGGATAGCGGATTCCGCGTTCAAACTCACATGTGCGCCAAGCATCTGCGCGAAGAATTAGTCGTCGAATTATTTGAATTCCCTACGCCAGAGGCCGAAGTGCTGATTTAATTTCTTTGGTGCTTTTTCAGTCCGCCTCAACTAATAAAAGTTATCATGCACTGACACACTGAAATCGCTCGCATTAGGAGTCTGCTGCAGTATTTGTGGCCCTGTCCGGTAGTCATGAGTGCTTGGACGGCGTACGCTCATGAGTTTCTACTTTGGCACGTTAAGCAGGAGCGTGCTCTTGATAAACCACGTGTAAGATCCTCCCAGATCACTCTGCACTACTGTGGTGTCTGTTATTGTCGTATCAGGAGCCAATATATTTAGAGGAACGGCAAATGTTAGAATAGTGTCATAGAATGGCCTCGCGGTATGTTTTGCACAGACCAGCAATAGTTGTGATCCGAGTATTGAGCGTAGAGGAACACCGAAATGGTCTAACGCACGACCCGTTATTTGAACCCCTTTAGCCTTCAAGCTCGATGTCAAATTAGCAAGTGTATGTTCTTAGCCATCTGATTAGTCAAACCGTATCGGCATTTTCTCATCGATTACCTTATGAACGGTAAGCGTAAGATTACATCTGTGAGCACTCCGAGAGTGCGTTTGTAGATTCAACACCGGTGCAGTACTAGAGTGTATTCAGCCCACTAATACGAATTTCGCTGCAGAAAAGAACCTGGTGTCCCGAACCGCACGAATATTAAAGTGAACTTCAGTTGAGTCGGATAGGGTGCTGCGAACACTTACCTTCAGATGACACTGAACGAGAGACTTATCCATCCAAACTAGAACGGAATCGTCAATTCCATAAATCTGAAGCTTGCGAAGTAGAATATAATGATCCAAATGACCAGATGACGTTTAGAAAGTCAAATAATATCTCCCTCTCTTCCTGCGTTGGCAGATTCCTTAATTAATTAATTAATTAATTAATTAATGGTGTGGGACCGATTCTTGGGAAACCCGTACCGTTTCAGGTCGTGAATTTTGGTGCTCTCCGAGCACCCCATACCCGCCATAGCGACGACAAAATATCCTACCATGAAGATTACCGGAAACGTTGTTGTCCACACAGCTGCAACCGTTCTAGGTTGCAGTGGCGATCTTTCGTTTGCACTTCGTAGGACCCTGCATCTCATTACGACGTGATTAAAAATACCTGACTGACGGTTCACCTGTATTCATGGTAAACACCTTCAACGATTTGGGCGAATGTAGTTAGTGCCAGAGGAGCTGTACTCACTCAATGACCTCAGCCTTGTCAGTGTATCCGTGGCTGTAAAGAAAACCTGGTCAGATCCTGATGGCTGTGTGGTCTACAGTTTCGACATTTGTCACGAAGCCCTTTGAAGTGAACGACTGTCACTCTGATTATTGAGATCATTTCCGAGGTGCTTAGATATCTGGACCGCACTCCTCATATCTCTACCTCAGCGGTGTAAATTACTACGAAACCAGAAGGGGATTCGCGAGCACGTCCGGAAGTGGTTCCACCGATGTGAAACGGTGTCTTCTAATACCTTCATCACAGCGCTCTTCCATGAGTACGGACACGCTGGTTGTAACAATGATTTCAGAGTTATTTTTTTACCATTCCTGAAAATTTTTTACGAGGATTCCGTTGATATCACTTATCAGTTACTAAACCTATCTAAATCCGGCACCTTAAGTTGGAGCTCTGTGTGTACAGAAGCAATTCGTACACCAGTTACTTTTACTCTGGCCCACATTCTTTGGCATGTGCTCATTCGATCTGTTTGTTATCCCTGTCAATCACTGACTGTGCATGGAAATAATATCCGCTGCAATTAATCAACCACCTTCAGTGACACCATGACTTATTTATCCGGCTGGTAAATTTAACATCATTTTAAGTAATCAGCCCAACCCCGACACTTTTACCATGCACTCCGCATTAGGTACATGTCTGATTCTAACGGGATTTACCGAAAAGAATTCATGACTCAGCAATCTGATTGGTTATTAAATAGAAATTTTGGGATTGCTAAAGCTAGTACAGAAGGTAGATTGTTCCAGAAAACAGTCGTTGCCTTACCATTCATGCTTCAGTCTGCCGGAGATGGACGGTTCTAAATGTTTAAACACAGAATGGCAACAGGAGACTGTTGAGTCGATCTTTGCTTAAACAGCCTTCATACAGTGAACACAATAAGTGTACCATCATACACAGCAACTCGGATGCAATCATAGGCCGATAAAATGCACAGTGTTAAAACACCGCTTCTTTCTTCTTAGCAAACTGACGGTTACTTTCGTGCAACATACATGAGAACTCTACAACTTCACCATATTCGGTCTGATTTACAGTGGAAGTCTTTGAGTATTACGATATCTAGGACATTTTATTCCATCTGTAATTTTCTTCAAGTTGAAAGGGAGTTCCTGCCTTCCGAAAGCCGTTAAGTTTCTATCCTTACGTTAAAGGGCGCAGCATACGAGATGCGTATGTTTGATTGTCATACTTTCGTTCCAATACTTTATAGCTTGCATATGGATCTGTTGAACAAGTCTGTTAATGTCTGTAAACTGAAAACAATTCTGAGCGACACAAACAAATTCCGACGCGATGCAATCCAAAAAGACACCGATTCGCAACAGGAAGTAGAAATCATTAACATTTTGAAAGAATTGGTAGGGCCGAAACATATAGATGATTCACTCTTTTCAAAGCTGACTCCATACGGCTCACACCCTCCGCGACTCTATGGATTGCCAAAAGTGCACAAAGCAAACCTTCCTATGCAACTAGCAGTGGACATGTCTACCTGCGCTTTTCACTGTGTCGTAAAGTGATTAACGGATTCGCTCAAACCGGTTCGCAAAGAATTGTCGACTGATACTGGCAAAGACACGTTTTGATTTGGTCAACCAAATAGGAAACCTAAACTTGAAAGATAAATTGATGCTTTCCTTTGACCTGGAATCACTTTTCACGAACGCGCCGTTTGTAGAGATTGTGACCTTTATTCGTAATTTAATCACAAATAGCAACATTAAGGTTGGAATTCTAATGAATAAACTAATAGGATTGATTACATCGTCAACTTACAATTTCTGTCTAGTGAGCTCTATTCTAGGCTGATGGCATTGCACTGGGTTCTCACGGAGGCCTTCTGGCCGACATCTGACTTTCAAATATCGAACGTGTACACCTGAACATCCTAGTTTCTTCGTTTGATTTACGCTACCGTTAAATAGACGACACATTCACTGACTTTGACTCTTTCACGGATTAGCTAACTCAATTAGATCAGTTTAGCCGAGTGCATCCATCCTTAAAATGCACCAGTGAAGTTGAGCAAGATGGCTGCTTGGCATTCCTATACGTTCTAGTGCGTCGGCGTGAAAACAGCACGATCAAATGAGTGCTTTTCGCAAAGCGTGGTGCGTAGATCAGTACACCTACTTTCGTAGCTTTGTACCGCTGAGATACAAAAGGATTTTACTTCGTTGTCAGAGTAATCTGCAGCCAAGTGACGCTGGAAAGCGAAGCCAAGCTCATCTCTATCACACTGCAAAAGTTGGGTACCCTTTGCCTTTCATCAAAAAATACTCCAAACATCCTGATTCTGTCAAGTCTGTCAACAGTGTCCAAAAGAGATGCACTCTTTACAGTTTCCTTTAAAAGTGACGTTGCCTTCGAACTGCTGAATGGAAAAATCTCGACGGCAGTGGCCAAGACACTTCCAGCCGCTAATCTAAAACTATTTACGGAAATATGACCGTAGATTCTTCAGCGCTTAAAGGATGAACATCCAGTTCGGTATGAATCGTTTATCTTATATTGGCACACATGCGCCTGTGGTGCTAGGTATCTTGGACATAGGATCAGGTATTCGTCCAAAAGAAGCGCTGAAAGTTGTCCCGCGTCAATATGAAAAGACACCGTAAAATCTATAAACACTTCCACTTTGCAACACTTGGTTGACACCGGACGCCAAGTTCAGATGAATCCGTCGTTTAAACTCCTTTGTACCATCCCTAAAACCTATCTAAAACGGCTCAAGAAACATCTTTTGACGATTTCTGAAGCCAGTGCAATCAAGGTTCTGAATCAAATGCTGTGCAAACGGCGCAAATTGTTACATGCTATGAAATAACCTTGGCCATGAACTACCTCTATCGTTTCACTTTGGCTTTCAAGATTGGCATGTGACCAGCCTTGAGCACGTGCTTCCTCATGTGACAGTGTGGTTGAGCAAAACATTGATTTACTTTTCATACTGTTAGGTTAATGAGTTGGTTGTTTTCCTTATAGTCTTTCACCCAACCTAGACAAACCTCTACGAGCTATATTCCTTCCAACAATTTGCTTTATCATCGTATACGCTCGATGCGATTTATGGAGAACAATATTCTTCGCGCACTTGCTGACTTCTGACTCAAAGTGGTTTAGACTGGAAAGAAAGACAAGCTTGGCTAAAACAGCCGAATGCTGGACTTACCGTAAGTGTGTTCCAAGGAGGTTTGATGTATTCTGTGTCGGAACTGTATTGTTTTGTAGCCGTTGTTGGGTTTCGGGCAGAATATTCTGTTCGAGCTGACCACGCATGGAATGCTGTACATGTTGACGCTTTGTTGAATGCATCAAGTGGGCTGTCACATTCGCTTGCGAAGATAAGCGCAGTCTGGACACCGAACCCCCCGGTGGCGCACTCCTTGGTGGTGGAGTCGCAGAAGATGAGTCGGTGGTGCACATGACGGCTACCGGGTGCGACTGTGATGGTGGGGACTGTGGACATCGGACACCGGACATGGTTGAGGGAACGGTCACACCGGTGGATGGCGTGGTCACCGCCACCGAGCATGTTTGATCCAGCTGTGAAAAAGCGAAGAAAACATCCCTTGTACTATTCGCAGTTCATGGCGCAAGTATTGTCTAAAACACTGAAAGGAAGCTGATCTGTACAGCGAACCGACAAGTTGTGTTCAGGTTGGTCATAAACTGCGGCTGTACTGAACGCTCGAGATTTGTTAATTAGCAATTGCGTCACCGTTCCACAAGGTTTGCCTCACACTGCATAAGTTGGAACTCAATTAGCTGCTTAAATTTCATGTTAATATAAACTGAGTACTCGGCTGACGACATCTGTGAACCTCTCCTTGTAGGTTGCACTGTTGGTGCTAAGTGGCTTAACAACCATGCCTCATGGCACCTGTATGTGGAAGGACTGCACCGAAGCCGCATCCATCTGTGCTGGTTCTGTCTAATATGTGTGTTGATTAAGATTATCCATGTGACTGCTTCAAGAGACCTGGTACACTTTCTACTATAGTAGCGTAAAGGACAGCTGATTACTTCACCGTGTTTGACTTGTCTGATGTGAGGCACTAAAATTTCGATGCGACGTTTTCAGGAGTAAATATACCCAACGTATACAAGAAGTAGGTTGAATTAAACCTTGCGAGTTTCTCTTGTTTTGGTCAATTCGCACTAGTACGTGTAGTACAACTCCATTGTCCTAAAAGCCGTTAGACGAAGATGTATAGAGTTACGGGTAAGAAAGTTACCTGACGCCTTCAGCCATCAGGTAATGATGCGTCTATGAAATAATCCGGCACAAAAACTGACCACCTTAGTGCAAGGCCGTTACGCACACGTTTCTTCCGATTTATACCCAACTGAGAGTTAGTATTGCCGTTTTTTGTCGCTTTGGTATTCGAGAGCTTCTTCTACGGAGCCGGTACGAGGGTGGGGCCATAAGTTTCTGGATACACAAAATGGTTTATCTCTTAAAACCAAAGAATCATTACACTTTCTCGAAATACTCTCCACCAGCGTTCATGCACAGTTCCACGCGCTCAAATCATTTGGCGAAGCAGTTAGACCATGCCAAAGCAAGTAACCCTTCATGTAGCTCAACAAATACCTCTACCACAGCCTCTGGAGACTCGTAACGGATCCCGCGCCTCATGCGCTTGACGTTTGAGAGCACAACTATGTCACACGGAGTCAGGTCTGGACTGTAGAGTGGGTGACCAACCCCATGGATGCGTTCTCTAGCCGGAAAATCTACGGTGACATGGGACCTGTGTGCAGATGTTTTGTCATGGTGCAGCTAGGTCTCTCTTGCTCGAATCCTTGGACGACACCTGGCAACAACTCGCAGCACTTGCGGCAGACAGTGGGTGGCATACCAGCCTCCGGTAACTCTGTGTTTTACTGTAAGAGCGGTTCAGCAGTCATATGAATTGGACACCATTTGCTTTGCCACACGGCACACGCTGGACTTCTGATTCGGCGCCCCACCAACGGCCGTCAAGTGAGCCGATTGTTGGTTGATCTCTCGGTCGAAACTGTACATACAGGACCTTTAACCACTGCGGATCGCCCAAACGGCACTGGAACGTCCACCATCAAACGTGGCAAGCATGGTGTGGCACGAATGTACCCGAGCTTTTTCCTGGTCCGCACTGAGCTGATGGGCTACCCAACGTGTACAAGCCTCTCTGAGGCCGAAGTCCTCAGGTAGGATGGTGTGGATTGATCTCGATGAGATCCTGATGTCTTTCGCAGCTGTCACCACAGCATCTCTAAGACAGCAACAAGGTCGTTCGCGGTGGTGGCCTCCACACGTCGACCCCACCGTGCTTCAGCATCTAGGGACAGCCTGTTAAGCTTACATTCCGCACATCACTCAAAAACTGTGGTTTTGAAAGCAAAGTATCACCAAACGCAGCACGCAATCGTTCAAAACGCAGGTGCTGTTTTAAACCATATCTATAACCAAAGAAAATCATCGCTCACCAGTGACATCGGCGGAGTTCCGTACTTACAGTCAGAGTATAGCGACCCCTATGACTTGTGAGCTGTGCTGCTATGCTGAGTTGAAATCAATGAACAATGTTTAGGATGGATTATAATTCACATTTTCTTGCCAGCACATCTGCAGCTAATCTGTATACTGCGTATCCGGAGACATATTGCGCGGCCCTCACACCTTAATTTCTGGATACTGTGCAACTTCAGTCAAAACAACCATCGGTCTCATTTGTTAAACTTGATGTTGGTTTGCAGAAATACGATAACCAGTGATTACTATCCCATTTGGATAGCATGAAATCAAATATTTGTTCTCTACTCAACGAACATAAGGAAGGTTGGTTGCACATCAGCATGAGTTCATTACTGATGGACAACTAGGAGGGCAGCAGTGTTTGAATAAGCATTTTTACAGGAAAAACGCCCGTTAAATTGCTCAGTTAGCGCCAGTCGCCAACAATAAATAGCGTGGTCTTTGAGTTGTATGTCAACTCGCTCCCCTTAAAATGTGTTGTTGTAGACTTTGTACTCAGTAGGGAAAATGGCTACTCATAAGGAGATTCGAGACAATGTACTGGTTTCCCCAAACAGGCGGTCATCGACTATAATCAATCCTGATGTTATGGAAATAACATGGTGGCAATCGACTATTCTGAGTCTTCAGAGGCCTCAAGGTATACACATGCCGAATAAGGGGCATTTCGTTAGTCTCCGAGTTCACCTGAAGTGGGGCGCGTGTGAAGTATAGCGCAGCTTTAATTGATGGAAGTGTGTGGTGCCACAGCCTACCGTTGCGTAGGTGCATCGATTTAGCCGATCACCACATCCGCGTACAAGTAATGTTGCTGTTCAGACTTTCGTTCGCCTATTGTATTTGTCGCTATCGGGAGCAAAGCAACTTCAGCATGCAGCAAAGAACAACTAACCGGTGAAATAAAGGTACAATGAGGCTGAGCGAATTGTCGTCACTTCTTATCAAACACTGATCATTAATGTCGCAGGGGGTGCAAATAATTGTCGTATTTAGTAATGTAAATGAAGTCAACGAAATATGGGCAGATTGGAGAGAAGGCGGAGTTAACTATTATGCAAATGATCGGCCATTCAATGCTATTTTTAAAACCGCCTTTATTTCATAGACTTATACTAAATGAAACCAGGTTAACCGGAGTAAAGCGGTTGAAGCAAAAGGCATAAGGAATCAAACACGAACAGGTTTTTGCAATGGGCTATACGCTGAACTATCCATTAGCATTAGGAAATATTTTGTCCTTATTACTGATGTTCGACTACACTGAAACGATGACAGACTACAAGTTGGAACGCTATTCGCAGCCGCGAGCAGCAATGACCCAGTGAGAAGTTATTACGTACTGTTGAGCTGCTGATACCCATGATCACTGGAAATAACTGGGATTTAAAGTGTTACCTGACGGCATAGGCAGAGTTACTTAGAACAACCTACGGGAAAAGAGATGTGCATTGTTAGCTGATGAAAGCTTAACGCACCGAGCCAGCCAATCGCAAGCAACGAAGCGATAAGTAGCTTTGAGAGCTTTGGGTACCAAAGCGCTGAATAAAGACCAAGTTCAAGAACATAAGGCGAGTGGGTAACACTTGATATAAATCTAGTAGAAGTTCAATTTGGCAGGCCGGATGTACGAAAAGTATTATGTGAATAAGTATTCAGTATGAGCGCACGAATGGACGACGTAAATCTCATTTAAATCGGAAGGAAAACCTTAAGCTGAAGAAAAATACACCTCCAAAATTTGAGAGTATTCGATAAAGCCGCTTCACAATGGGCACGGCCTGCCCAGCTGTAGCAATACAGGCGGTTATATATTATCTACCAGAAAATTTTATACCTTTCAGTAATGTCAAAGATCATCAGCTCTCAAGGGTGGCGAGAATTAAAGTACGCTGAAGAATACTCAGACCATGTTTGAATAACATACTGACCTGAAGTTACAACTCCTTATGCTCCTATTCGAGTGGGGATAATTCAGTGGCGTTGCGAACTGGTGCATGACAGGGAGTTGGAATTCAGCAATTTCAGTGGCGAGGTTGAGATCATAAACGGGTGCTCAGTAAGGTAGCATCGCATTCTGCTGACGGTGCAATTTTATCCGATCTACCGTGATTGATCACACACAATTGCCTGTTGGGGTGAAACTAGTGTGAGCAAATCACACACTTTGACCAAAACGTCTCTCCTTTACTTTCTTCACTCCCCTTTTCATTATATCCGTCGATCCCACCTCGGATTAATCCATCTATGAAAAGATGCACCGACGCAGGCAAGTGAGGATCTCAAGAGGGGATGTTGTAGCTAAGTTTAGGCATTCCAGTTCAACACACACTTCCGTGTAGTGTTGGACGTCTATTGCTTACAATGATCAGTAAATTGCACAAATTCTCACAGGGTGAGAAGTCATTGAAGACACCATCCATTATAGCGCAATGTCCAACTTAACCGCTCTCCTGCGTCAAAGTGCTTGCACCTTGTTAGTAACCTTCCAAACCGGTCCTAATTGTATTCATTCTCTTCCTTGTATCCTTTGTTTAAGTAATTGCCGTGCGCTTTCTTCATTTTATTCATCATTTTGATTGCTAACATCGGAACGATCTAGATCATCGCAACATGGTTTTCCCCACATTGGTACTCTAATCTGAACCACAGTAATCTTACGGATTAACAAGATTAACCATGCGTAAACCGACTGTGTGCAATCTATGAGTCCGCAATTACTGGATGGAGGTACTTGCTTAGACCGTAATCACACCAGTATAAATACTGCAAGCTGCGAAACAGTGTCCTTTTACCGTAGCTGGGTGCATATGTCGTTCTACCAAACTGTACTTTGAGCAGAGGGCGTGGTCGAGCACTGACTAACCAAAGTTCTTTGTGATGTCACATTTACGAACTACTCTATACTTCCAAGGCAAATATAAAAATATCCAGCCTAGGTAAATAGGTGCATCCGATTCACACGATTGCGTTGACAGCATGTAGCCAAGAAGCTTTTGACGTTAACCAGTGAGTTTGTCTCTCA